AGACATCACAATCGGCGGCCCAGGAACGGGGCCGAGCTAAGGGCCCCCCAAAACCGAGCTAGGGACCGCCCCGTAGGGCCAAGGCTCGTGGAGATGAGAGGCATTACTTACCTCACTTGGCTTAGAGCCTGCTTGGTGCATATATGTACGTCTTATTGCACCGGCAGCCAGCGGATATCCCCAGATGCCACGTCCGGCCGGATTGTTGCTGGGTTCTCACGAGTACGAGGGGGAGAACGAGCGGCTTGATGTGCGTCCGAGCTCAGTTGTGGAGTTGGTTTGGTTATTAAGCTCATGTTTTCACGGCCATTGACTGACTTTTCCTGATGACGCGAGTTAACGGACGGAAGATGCAGGAAGCGGGCGTAATTCCCTTTTTTTGCCGCCGTCCCGATGTGTCAACTGTCTCGTCTCGCGCAAACCCCTGTCCTCCCCCAATATCTTCGAGGTCTAAATCAAGCTTATCAACAGCGTTGATTCATGAGTCCCACACGCCCTGGCAGCATGATGAGTGAGCGTGCGCATCGATGCTGAGGATTTTCCCCATGAGGTCTGGTAGCCGCGCCCATCCTCGCGTCTCTGACTATGCTGCAGTGTGCCGCCAGCGGCCTTCGTATCGTATTGCCTACTCAGCAAATGTCGCCGAAGGCTTAGGCGGCGTTCTGTCTGGCGTCTTTGGCGAGAGGGAACGCCGCCGCCTTTTTTTCAGCTCGTGATTCAAGCACCTGGGCAAGTTCGCTGGTGCAATATGCAATATGCGTAATGCGTCCTCGCGCATAGTCAGTCATAGGCTGGGATAGCAGTGTGCCATGGACGTATCCACTCGTTATTCGGGCCATCATGAACGGGATCTGTCCCAAGACCTCTTGGCCACGTATCCGGAGCATTTGGGCAACCGCTTCCATGTCTTGGGTCTTGGATGTTGGGACGGTCGGCTCTTGGTCCCTTGGCAACTTGACCCTTGGCGCCGTTGATGCAGAGGCAAATGCAGATGAGGCCCATGTTACTGCTATCTTCGGGCTTCTCGTCCCTGCTTGTCTAGCGGCCTGCCTTGTTTACGCTGCTTGGCGAATCCACCGTTTTCGCGCCTTCCCGTCCCTGGTCAGTCACTTCTTTCCTTCCCATTCACTGTCTAGCTTGTTGTCGGGGGCCGCCTGCCGTTCTGCTTGCTTCCTTCCCCTTGTTCGACCCAGCTATCTGACCTGTCTCGTCTGCTGTTGTGCCTCGTGTTTTCTGTTCCCACCCTGGCTGTTCCTTTCTTGACATGCCTGCGCCTGCCTGCCTTGCCTTGCTGCTTAGCATCTTGGCCAACCACGGAATCCCGATCGTATCCCCAGGCCGCTTCACCTCGATGACCTTGATCTTCACCTGGCCTGATTTGATGCTCGTTTCCCTCTTCTTTCCCCCTCCTCCCCTTCCTTCCTTCTCCACCATCGAGCTCCAAGATACGCCGCTCCTGAGCCATTATCAAGTGGCTTGACGTCCCTTGGAGCCGCTTCCTGGACAAAACTCCTCCGACCAACACCAACACTCGCTTTCACCTCGACTCTCGTTTTCTCGTCTCAGGGAAAAGCTCACTATTCTCCAGTCCAAGTCGATCGCCGTCTTCCCCCCCCCTGTTGTCCCGGCTGCGTTCGTCTCCCCCCCATCCACCGTTTCGACTGTGAGCAGCCCTCTTAGTCTTCGATGCATCATCAGTAAACAAGGTCCTTGCACCCCCAGTCACTCGCTTTTTCTTGGACTTCATTGTACCAAGCACAATCACCGAACTCCAGACGCTTCATTCCATTGCTCGAGATCTATCACCATCCCTGGACGTCTGAAGCTCGGGAGTCACCCAGAACAGCCTCCAGACCAGTGACTGGATACCAGATTCGGCCGGCAACTTGACCAAAGCACGCCCTCGCCCGTGGCTCAACTCTGTATTCAACTCACACTCGTTTGCTCCGTGTCTCGTCGTCTAAAGGCCGTTACACTGCATCGGATACGACCAGCTATCGCCACCGTCACCACTCACCGAAGCGTCCGCCATGTCAGCCCCTTGGACGCCTGGCCACACTCGGGGTAACACCCCCGATTCTGGGCCTGGTTCGAACCCGTTTGAGCGTAATCCATTCGACACTGACGACAGTGCCGCCGTTTCCCTGGCAAGCAACTCGACATTCACTGTGGTATGCTCGTACTCCACGCCGGAGTGAATGCAGTGCGTAAGACTATTGGCTGACTCGACGCAGAATGTCATTGACCATGATCGCAACAGTCATGAAGGTCTTGCTGGCCAGCAAGCCTCTCGTAGACCTGGAGCTGGCGCCGTTCCATCGCATCACCGCTTAAGTCGACCAGAAATCGTAGGTGCCGTCATTCAACACCAGGGTGCGGGCATGATATTGACCTGCGCATAGGAACCCTCCCCGCTGGGCAGAGCACAGCTTGGCGTCAATGACGAGAGCGAGAAATACGAGAACCCCTCAACCTCCACTCTCAGCGTGGGCCAAGGCCATTTAGCAGGTCGTGCGGATGGCGCCATTATACAGGTCGATCCTGAGAAGATCACTGAGAAGCATGTCACTGCTTTGCGGCCTGGGTCCGACCTTCCATTCCACAAGCGCATGTATCACAAGTTTAGGAGAACATACAGCCCGATCGAGCCTCCGCCCCTGGTCTTACCCGTCTGCCCGACTGACGAGGAGAAGATCATGTATACCAGCACCAACCGAATTTTGCTTTACGTTTTCGGCGTCGTCTCCTTCCTTGCTCTTGGCGCGGGTATGTGGCTCTTCACCTTGTCTTCGCCTGTCTTTTACTGGTATGGAGTCTTTGCTGGTTGCATGTGCCTGTACCTCCTGATCTCCTATGGTGTTGGTATCGTTGGCCGCGATTGGGACTACCAATCACATCTCGACCGCGTTGAACGGTTCCCTATCAATGACCTCAATGCCGCGACGGTCGACATATACCTTCCCATTTGCAAGGAACCGATAGAGATTCTTGAGAACACCTGGAACCACATTGCTCGCATGGATTGGCCCGCCAACAAGCTCAAGGTTTACGTCATGGACGACGGTGCGCAGGAAGAGGTTCGTCTGCTGGCTGAGCGGTTTGGATTCATCTATTCTGTCCGCGAGGATAGACCCCGTCTTCGCAAGGCAGGAAATCTGCGATGGACTTTTGCGCGGACCGACGGCGAATTCTTCTGCATTTTTGATGCCGATTTTTGCCCACGCCCCGACTTCGTCAAGGAACTTATGGTTGAGCACCTCGATGACGAGAAGACCGCGATCGTCCAGAGCCCTCAGTTCTTCCGTGTTCTGGATGAACAAACTTGGGTCGAGCAGGGTGCCGGTGCTACACAGGAGCTGTTCTACCGTGTTGTCCAAGTCAACCGCAATCGTTGGGGTGCTTCGATTTGCGTTGGCAGCAATGCCATGTACCGCCGTGCTGCTCTCGTTGACGTTGGAGGCACCGCTGAGATTGGTTTCTCCGAGGATGTCCATACAGGCTTTGGCGCGGTAGACCGTGGCTGGAAGGTCAAGTATATCCCTCTCTGCCTCGCCACCGGCGTTTGCCCAGACTCGCCTCGGGCCTTTTTCTCCCAGCAGATGCGATGGGCTCGTGGCAGCACGACGCTGTTGACGAATGGCCACTTTTGGGTCTCGAAACTTACCTTCATGCAGAAGGTTTGCTATCTGTCAGGTACGTAGTCCATCTCTCTTGAACCCGCAACCATGCTCATCTCGACAGGGTTTCTCTACTACTCTGCCGTCTCTGCCAACATCTTCCTTTCTCCGATCGCGGGTACCCTGCTGCTCGCCATTCGTCCCGAATGGTTCAAGTTCTGGAACCTGGCATTCGCAATCCCCTCCATTCTCTATGGCGTCATCTTGATGCGTGTTTGGTCCAAAGCCACCTACGGCTTCAACGTCCAACACATCATGACTGTTCAGAGCTACGCCTATCTCACTGCGATCAAGGACCGCGTCTTCAACATTGAGCTTCTCTGGGCCGCCTCCGGCGATAGCAAAGCCCACAAGAGCAACAAGTACCGCAACATGCGCCTTCTCTGCATCATCTGGACCCTGATCGTCACTGGTTCCATGATTGGTGTGGTGACATGGCGACTAGTCACCGGCTTCACTTGGTACCACACGATCCCATTGATCCTTATCAACGTCTACAACTTCTTCATTCACCACTACTTCATGTTCTGCAATTGGTAGACGTCATTTCCCATTGAAGGAGACGTCATCACTGGATACCCCATCAGAGCGTTCGCTCTATCGACACGACACTCGACGCATATACACACGGCTGAATAACTTCATACACGCAACACCGATGCACTTGCAATAGGAAACAAACCTTGGTTTTCATTCTTGGGGACGATTACTCATTAAATTCACACTTGGACACTGGACATCAGGACAAATCTGCCCTGCATTCTCTAGGATCCCCGGCGGGCATAGACACGGACAACGGTGGCGTACGTTTGCACTTGATTCGCCTCTTCAGAGGCTATAGCCACACGCGCGTACACACGGCACAACTACAAACACGAATACCTTGTCACATGAGACGGGTATGGCGTCAATCGCACATGTATAGAAAAGATGAGGCCCATTCTGTTCTTTCGATCATCCCAAAGGCAGAAGCGTAGCGCATGGCCCAAAGTCGCTTTGTAAAGCATGATAGATAGATTTGTTCGCCACAATCCGCCACTTTCTAGGCGCGAGATGTGGTGTTTAATAACGTACATAACACCAACCCTAACCTAATGTATCTCCAAGGAGTGTGAAAGTCCATTTTCGTTGAATGGCATGCGGCGCTATGTCCTGGGTTAGCTGCATGGTCGGCCCCCGTACGGATGTAATGAAATTTGACATGACGAGACGGTGAACTGAACCCACCACGGCGGGGCTTGCAATCTGTTCTACCCACAGTGAGCCCTCGCCCACCGAATCATCCATTCAGAATCTGTCCTGCCACGGCCGCCTTCGCCCTCAGGGGGGATGGCGCAGTTGGGAGCGCGTTAGACTGAAGTCAACTTCAGGAAGTCAATCTAAAGGTCGCTGGTTCGATCCCGGCTCACCCCAACGTCTCAGGGTCTTAGGACCGCCGATCTGTTCTCTGAACGGCTCAAACCTTTTGCCACCTGATCGGTAGGTTTTTTGGTGGTTATCATTGGTGTTGTATCCAGTCAAGGGAATAAATAGCATGTATGTCTGAAGGAAGGAGCTGGCTGGGTAGGTCTGTTGTTCACCTGGGGCTTCTCAACCTTTCTCGCCCCTGCCCACAGCTTTCTTCCCTTGCGTGTAGAAAGAATCAAACGGCAAGCTTGCGTGGGAAGGAGTCGAGTCCTGCCATGATGTGAGGAACAAACTATGCGGCGCCAGTTCACGCCTCAATTACTCAGCTGTACACAGTATCGCATTTGCACTTATTTCTCGGACCCTAAGAACAGTAACGAACCGCATCATGGAGACGTCCACCGTCACCTGTGGCTTGTTACTCGCTGTGTGTGCTCTAGTTGTCACGGCTGGTCTCATTGCACCCTTGGGAAAGCCTGTCTGTATCGCGTGCGGGGGGCACGAGAAGCAGGGGACGGAGAAGCACGCGCGCGAGAGGCGCAATAATGCCATTGCTATGGGATACCCCCGCGCCCAGGAGACGAATCAAGTCCAACGTGAGAGTGAGAAACGACCTCAAGACTGGTATGGTCGATACGCACGATCTCAAGGCTAAGGTCCAGGTTGAAAGGAGTGAGAAACCTTGTTCTTCTGGAGAGGTTAGAGGCTGCTTCCCAGTAGATGTGTTTGGAGCTGGGTACGCTTAAGAGACTGGCTTACATGACATCTGCAGCACTTGGCACTCGAGCCTTGACATAAGGATAAGAAAAGAGGCTATTTTATCCCTTGCGGTTATTGTGCGGGAGGAGGCACTCGACTTGGGTAAGGCCTTGTCTGCAAAGGCTGATGCAAGTGCCATCAGCAACAATCAAGGGGAGATAGTCAGTAACTAGGACTGACGTTGTATCGAAACAGTGAAAAGATCAACATGGAGCCCAGTATCTGCATCAGCCAATGTGCCTAGATATGAAGTTTGATTTGAACTCGTAGCCTCATAGGGTGTAGCCAGGGGTGCATTACTTGACTGCGGCCACCTAAGGAGCTGCCGCCACACGACTTGGAACCCGCCGACCACGGGATTCTGGATACCATATACTCGATGGGTGTAGACACAACATGAAATGGGAACGGCAGGAAATTCCCTCCGGTCTCTGAGATGCGGTACATCCACCCTGTTCAATTTCACCTCTGCTGAGAGATCCAATCGCGTCCTGCCAGCTTACGGCAAGGAAACTCTCCGAGGACGTGCTCGTACCAAAACCAAATAGTAAGCTCCTCGGACAGCTTCCGCCCCTTTTCCCATCTCCGGGAGTCGTCGCCCTAAAAGATGGCGTTGCAAGCTGTGCCGATGAATCATTAGCGTGAGGTGCTCACTGACCACTCCTTTAATCGACTTTGCCCCTTACCACCTCAGGACATCACCCAAAGCTCACCGCCTCGGTTTTCCGATTTCTTTTTGATTCTTCCAGAATACGGGAAAGAAACTTGAACCTCGACACCGCCAAAGAGTCACTTGTGTATAAAGACACCATGGCGGCTTCAGTGTCACCGAAACGTCCAGTTCGCATAGGTGGAGCATCTGGTGGCTTCACTGACCGAGTTGCCGGCATCAGGCGCCTTGCTGCCGACCCTAAAGTCGACGCCGTTGTCGGGGATTGGCTTTCCGAGAACGTCATGACCGGCTATGGAGCGGGAAAGGCACGAAAAGTCCAGTCTGACAAAGCAACGACGAAGCTGCCTCTTGAAGAACGGAAGAAGACGGCTTACTACGCCAGTACATTCCTCCAATGCCTTGAGCCAGCGATCTCTGAAATCGCCCAAAACGGCGCCAAGTTGGTCGTGAACGCTGGAGCAAGCGACACGGAACTTCTGGCCGAGGTGGTGAACGACATGGTGCTGGGAGGCGGCTTCGACATGAAGGTCGCCTGGGTCGAAGGCGACGATGTGACCTTATCCTTCAAGCGCCTGGTTGCTGGGGGGGCGACTTTCAGAAGTATCACAGATCAAAGGACCTTGAACGAATGGGGGTTCGACCCCATTTGCGCACAAGCATACCTAGGAAGCTTGGGAATCGCTGAAGCTCTACGACAAGGAGCAGATCTTGTCATTTGTGGCAGGTCAGTATATTCTGGCCTTTCTACATCCTGTGAGAAACAAGCTGATGCAAGCTAGGGTCTCCGATGCTGCACCTTCGATCGGGATCGCAGCTTGGTGGCATGGCTGGGGAGCGTCCGACTTGGACGAGCTGGCAGGGGCTCTGGTCGCAGGACACCTGATCGAGTGCTCGGCTTTTGTTACTGGTGGCTACTACAGCCGCTTCAAGGACCTGATGAAAGCGAAGAAGCATCTTGACCTGGGGTTCCCCATAGCCGAGGTGTTCTCAGATGGGACATGCACCATCACAAAGGAGGATATGTCCAATGGTATCGTCAACGTCGAGACGGTGACATCGCAGCTTGTTTACGAAATCAATGGGCCGCTCTACTTCAATTCTGACGTTGTGGCTGCCCTTGAAGGTATTACACTGGAGCAAACTGGTAAGGATCGAGTCCGTGTCTGTGGCGTCAAAGGCCTACCCCCTCCTCCAACAACTCGGTGCGGGATCACCGCTCACGGGGGTTACCAAGCTGAATGGCACTTCTATCTCGTTGGACTGGACATTGAAGAAAAGTGTAAGTGGATGGAAGAGCAGGCGAGATTTGCCATCGGGGAGGACTTGATGAATCGATTCACCATGATCAAGTTTCACGTCCACGGCAGTTCGCCAGACAACCCCCGAAATCAAGAGCTCGCAACGGTTGATTTCCGAATATTTGCACAGGCTCAGGACGCCAGCTTGTTCGACCATACGTCAGTTGACGGCTTTGCAAGAAAGCTTTACGAAACGGTACTGCAATCTTGCCCGGTAAGCTCTGTCGCCTCGACTATTAGAAAAGCGATGCTCATGGCTTTACAGGGAGTTTCACGTTCAAATGATACTAGGCAATCGGCCGCGAAGAGTTACTGGGAGTATTTTGTCACATCAATTCCGCAGTCGGTTTGCGAGCATCGGGTACATTTTCTGTACGACGACAAACTAAGTATAAATATACCAGCACCGCCTATAACCTCCGATTACGGGCCCCAAGACTCGTATGAGACGGAGGATCCAGTTCCTTGCGGGAGTTTTGGAGCCACGATCGAAGCGCCACTTGGCTATATTGCCCTCGGTCGCTCTGGAGACAAAGCATCTGATGCTAATGTTGGTTTTTTCGTAAGCGGCGCCGAAGAATGGGACTGGCTGCGGTCTTTCCTTACAATCAACAAGATCCAAGAGCTCCTAGGTCCCGAAGAATATTACGGTAGACGGATTGATCGCTTCGAAATGAAAAACATTCGAGCTGTCCATTTTCTGCTCAAGGATCATCTTGACAGAGGCTACAACTCAGGGTCAAAGCTGGATACTCTGGCGAAAAATCTCTGCGAGTATCTGAGGGCGAAGCATGTTCCAATCCCCCGCAAATTCCTTCAAAAGGGGCACCTCTAAGGGGAAGCTTGCGAAGGCGGCCCGGGCCCTGATGTCACGGACAGTGCGGGGGCAAATGGCCCCCTTTTCTCAGCCGCCGGAAACCATCTGCCGCACCATCTATCTTACCTAGTCGTATTTATGCAACCTTCGCGCTCCGCTTCTATTGATCGTCCAGTTGGCAAGCATTCTTTGCGTGACCTCGATTCTCAGCTGTTGTATCCATTATGTTCTCCCCTACTCAGTTTGCAGGCAAAGTCATTGCCCTCACGGGTGCAGCCTCAGGTATCGGCCTGGCAACATCTCACCTCTTGGCTGGCCGCGGTGCCCGACTGGCCCTTGCTGATGTCCATGAAAAAGGTCTTCTAGAGGCTAAAAACGCTATCCTAGAGGCTCATCCGAATTCAGAGCTTTCCATCACTGTTCTCGACGTTCGTGACTGTGATGCCGTCGAAAGATGGACGACAAATACCGCCTCGCACTTCAGTCGGCTTGACGGGGCCGCCAACCTCGCTGGTGTAATACCGGAGTCAATCGGAACCAAACCTCTTTCAGAACAGGACCTTGAGGAATGGGACTTTGTCCAGGGCGTCAACCTGACAGGTGTGATGCATTGTCTCCGGGCGCAGCTGAAGACCATTAGCAACGGTGGGTCCATTGTCAACGCGAGTAGCATCGCCGGCTTGACAGGCAGAGCAAACAATGCAGCCTACACAGCAAGCAAGCATGCTGTAGTGGGGCTGACAAGAAGTGCGGCGAAAGAGGTCGGGGCGAGGCAGGTGAGAGTAAATGCTATATGCCCGTGAGTCTCTACGCCCTGTTCCTGGCTACACCTTGCTGATCTAGTGATAGGGGTCGCATCGACACGCCCATGCTGAGGAGCGCGAACTCAGGCCCTGTAGGACCTGAGATTTCTATGGCAAGGCTCGGGACGCCAGAAGAGGTAGCAAAGCTCATTGCCTTTCTCTTGAGCGACGAATCCACGTACATATCCGGGACTGCAGTGAGCATCGATGGAGGATGGAATTGCTAGCCAGACTCTACGTCAAGCAATCTTTTTCTTCTCCACGTTTCTGGGACACTGACTTTTGGTTTTGTTTTGCTTTCCATGCTCATGATGGTGACTTCGAAGAGCTTCCTCCCCCTCAGTTGAAGCAATCATAGGTCAATCTGCTTTTCATGTAGACACGTATCTTGATTGCCTAGTCGCATCCCTGACTCTTAAAATTGAGTCCGCCTAGAAGTAATGTTACTCCCTCATTACAAATCTTATATAAGCTCGTTATAGAGTAACTCCGACATTTCTTTTCGGAATGCGAAGTCGAGTGCTGGATATGTTGGCAGGAAGGCCTGAGAGTCCCAGTACTGATGATGCTGTTATGAGAATTATGATCCCCGCATTCTCGTACATACGACCATACCTACTGGAGAACTCGGGATCCCGTCCGCTCTCCCATAGA